GTTTTAAGGAACTTATTAAGGAAGCCAGTGCCTGTACCAATATGGTGGAGTGTTGACTCTGTTTTCTTCTAGCATTTGCAAAGTTTCTGGTCCTTGATTCAGTTTAATTTGACTTTTGTGCAGGGTGAGAGATAAGGATCTGGTTTCAATCTTCATATGAATATCCAGTTTTACCAACATCGTTTGTTAAAAAGGCTGTTTTCTCTCCAACATGTTTTTGGCTCTCTTGTCAAGGATCAAATGGTTGTCAGTATGTTGGTTTATCACAGTGTCTTCTGCACTATTCCACTGTTCTTCATGTCTTCTTTGATTGGGCAAAGTATTTGATGAAGATCCCAAAGATAAAATTGTGAAAACAAAAATGAAGTGGTACCTAGTTAAGTTGTAGGTGCATTTGAAGATGGTTGAAATGCATACTCCAAAAGTAAATCTTTGTAATTGGTAAAAGAAATGTCCCTAAATTAGAGATGGCCACCCACTTCTGCTTGAACACTCTGCTAGCTCCAGTTCTGCCTGGAGAAATATCCAAGTGGGAAATGACAGTTAATTAAACCTCTGAAGGTTAACTGTATAAATGAGGGATTGTTCTCTGTTGCTCCATGGAGGGCTCTGAAAAGCCATCTTTATCTTTTCATGGGGTGCAATATTTGATGGGGTAATTCTAGAGTCCTTGAGCTTCAAAGCACTACAGTTTTAAGGACTGAGAACCATTTTTTTTATTATTGCTTTTAAAATATATATATTTAGTAGTTCATGGACCTTTATTTTATTAACTTATTTATATGTGGTGCTGAGAATCAAACCCAGTGCCTCACACATGTGAGGCAAGCGCTCTACCTCTGAGCCACAACCCCAGCCCCTTATTATTGCTTTTTTATAGTTTCTATCTCAACCTAGTCGCCCTTAAAACTTTAGAGCTCAGTTAACAATGCACACTTTCTAAAGATTTCTGCAGCTGAAATCTAGAAAGCTCTCCAGTCCTTACTTTCTTTAATAATATAGTTATCACTGCCTCACACAATTCTGATTACATTTCCTCAAAAGCCCTTTAATACACAATTTCTAAAATTGTCAGGGCCTATAATTGTCTATAATGGGGAGCATTACAAAGGAGCATTGTTGACTTTTAATTTTTTTTTTACATAATAGAAACTCAAATATCTCAATTTGGGGCTTACTTGATCCTATCTTAGAAAGGGTGAAACTTAAGGACTAAAGTTAGGAGGTTCTTAATTCAACTGAAATAGTCTATAAAATCCTATTTACATGGTAGCATAAGCAAATGTGTTTATGCAGCGGCTACCACCTTGCAGCAAGGAAAACACTTCCCCAAAGAGAAATATTTTAATGCAATGCATTTTTGTCACTTATACTTCATACAAGGGATTCTATTTTTTCTCTTGAACTTCTGTTTCTGTGAGTCTGTTGCTGGGAAGATCCTCATAAATCTAAGTCACCATTTCTCCACCAACACACTCTTGCTCTTGGATAGAAAGCACAAGTATTTTATTCCTGTCTCCTGCATTATAGAATCTATAGATTCCAGCCGATGGTTGATATATAACAAGCAAAGTTTTTGTTTCAAAAGTAAAGAAATCTTCTCATTGTTTGAAAAAGAGTTCTATCTCTGATATCTCAACAGATGATGCAAAAGTGTGAGTTTCATACATAACTTCATTTCAAATGCAAATGCACGCAGGCATCTAAATAAATTAACATTGGTATTTATCGTTCTATCTCTATCCATATAAATAACTTTATTAAATTATTTGCCTCATTCCAGATGGTGTTGATAATGGTGATGAGGACCATGACAAACAGTAACAACAATAGTTAGTCTGCATAGATCTGGTTCCCTGCTGGGGTCTATGTTAACTGCAACAACACTGTTCAAATCCCCTTTTCACAGAAAAAGAAACTAAGGAACTACAATTAACTGACTTTCACAGAGTGGGCGAGTGCCATTTAGGATTTGAACTTTCGTCTCCTGATTTGAGAGCCCGCTCTCCTAGCTACTAGTCTACACTGCCTTTAATATGGTACTTCCCAGAACATGAAATTGAAATATCACCACTGTATTTGTTCACTGTCATTTTCAAAAGTATAACAATTTTTTAAAATGACACTTTAGTGATTGAAATAAAGTAAGCTGCCCTGGCCTATCACAAATGTTCCTTCATCTGTGAAGGATTTCCTAATTTTTTTCCCCATCCAGATTTGCCCTTTCCCTAATTTATTCTAATTCTTAGTTTGTTCTTTGTCCTCTTTGAATCAAAGTAATTAATCATATTCTAACTTATTTAGGATATAAGACATGCATATGAGTAGCTCTTATGCAAGATAAAATAACTACTATTTGGGCAGAAATGGAATGTTTTGTATCACATCGTCAATATTCAATAAATACACGTAGAAGACAAATTAAATCTAGACTCGTGCTCAATCCACTGAGTGAGTGAGCTCCATTCTCTGCCCAGGATCAAACAGCTGGATTTATGGGAGAAACCATAAAGAGGAGATAGACTAGCATTTTTATTTTTCTAATGGGGTAACCGAAAAAGAGAAGTAATCTGCCTAAAATCACATAGCTGATACTCAGAGAGGACAGTGCTTTCAGTGAGACTGAAATCTGAGTTATAGTCTTCTAAGAATATCCATGTGGCCTTTTAGATGAGCTTTTTTCCTCTTAGAAAAATGAAGGCTGCCAGGAGAGAAGATGGCAGTAGGAACCTCACAATTTCTTCTCATGGGCCCAGAAGGGTAGGAGAGGGGAGAAGGTTCATTTAAAACACCTACGCTGGCAAGCATGGTTGTCATCGAGATGGTGCCCAGGGAAGCAAGTGGTGCTGCAGGTGCCAATGTGGGTCAGAACGAGGTTGGCGTCACACGAGGAGCAAGAGAAAGGTCCTCCGCCCTGGCAGGTTCTGCAGGAGGAGTGGCATTCTGCAGAGAAACAAACAGAAACCATGAAGCCAGGCTGACTTCCAAGGCAGCATTGCAAGTGCTGGTTATAACAAGGCCCCCACTTCGAGCACATTTGCTGGTCTGGCTCAGGGTCCATGCACATATGCTCCTCTCTTCTTCAGGAAGCTCAAGCCCTCTCAGCAACTGCCCCCAGGAGAACCTCCTGAGTCAGCACTTACTCACTTTTACAAGCTCCCCTCTCTGCGTAGTATCCAGAAGGGCAGTCAGGAACACAGTGGTCCCCTAGCAGCAGGTAGCGGGCATTCTGGCACCTCAGGCAGACGCTCCCAGTGTCCTGGAGATCAGCTACACAGTGCTGGCACAGGGGATGGCAGTCTGGAGAGGGCAGGGAACAGAGAGAAGGCAGGGGTACTCATGAGTACAGCCTAATCACTACACTGGAGGGCAGAGGGATTTCAATTACCAGCACTGCAGCACAGAGAGCCGGAGAGTAGCCCAAAGGCAGCGTATGTCAGTAAAGCAGAAGCTCGGGACCTGTACAAATTGTGTGTTTGAGGTTTTTAGCAAATGGCTAGGCCCAGCACAGCAATTGAGTTTTCATCTCTTTCCAATTGAATGACCTTCAAGTACCAGGGCACATGTGATAGATACTTGCTGGGGGTGTAGACAGAACTGTCAGACCAACAGAAACAGCAGGCTTGGTGCGCTCAACATCTCCCCTAAGGGCTGCATGCACTTGAGTATGTCCGCAGTCTGTTCCCAGTCTGTGCTCCTGGTCATAGTGGGCTCCAGCACTTGGTCTTCCAGAGAGAGCATACCAGTCTCAGCCTTTGGGATGGGGGCAAGGCAGGTAGTACATAATGGACTGAGTCACTGGAAATTTTTAGTCTTTAGCTAGAGATAAAGTTATAAAGAAGGGTTGGGAGTTGAAAAAAAATCACTTTTATGACCTGATACATGATTCATAGCCTCTCTGTCAGACCAGCTGTGATTAAAACTATAAAACAAATTATTTTGTGCAGCCAGCACTCTCTTGTTCTCGCTCATATAATAGTCATCCTCTAATAAAGAACTCGATTGTGCTCAGCTTTCATTGTGGGTGAAAATGTCCTCTGCTCTGCTTTCAAGTGGTGATTACCCTCTGAATCTCGTTTACCATCCTTCATCCCAAAGGCAGAAGAAAACCCACAAATCCTGAATTATGCACCCAAATGAAAAAGGAATAAAGATTTAGGAAAAGAAAAGTCAGAGTTCAGGATACAGAGCCTTCCCACCTTCCCGTGCAGGATGCAAAGAGCTTGCACTTGCTAATACCCACCCAGGACCCAGAGTGTCACGAGCCAGCCGTGGGCTGTGTGTGTGTGTAAGCTGTGCGCATTTGAGCGAATGAGGGGACTGGCCTGACATTACTGCCTGATGGAGCTGTGCGACATATGTATGCCTTTCCTCTCTGTCTGCCTATGATTCCACACAGCACCTGAGATGGGTGTGGCTTTCCAAGATGTCAGTCAATCTGCTGACCACAAGACATCACCAAGCAAGACTCCACCCTCCACCCTTCAAAACCCAATCCCTTGCCTTATTTGGGTGGAACTTTCTCGAATGTATTTTTCCCAATAAATAGAAGTTTTCAGGTGTGCCTGCTCTCTCTCTTGCTCCTTCCAGTGCTGGAACTGACCTTTAGGTCACCTAGCCATCCTACCTGAGAAACTTATGTTCCTGTGCTGTGTGGTTTCTTCACTGTTTTCTTAGTTATTGATACAGACAGCTCCTTTGAACCCAGTTCCTATCGATAGCATGGCCAGCTGGCAATACCAGAGGGTCCTGTTTCACCTCAAGGCTTTGGAGAGAGACACTGTGATTTTTAGCTAGATTTTCACTAAAAAAAAATCCATGTCAGTAAAACAGATCACCTGCCCTGAGCCCTGCTGAAAACCAGTCTTTCTACCTGTACTCTTGGTGACACTTTCTCAACTACTAACCATCTAGACACATTTTCTGTACAATTCCAGCTCTCGCCCCCATCCCAGTGCCCACTTGTCCACAGGAGAACCCTTTCCCCAGAAACCCTTAAAGCCAGCCCAGAAGTTGAGCCAAGTGTTCCCCTGAAAAACAAGGACTCTCAATAGCACACAAACCAACAGCCCCTGACCTTTCGCTGAACCTTGGGAGTTTCAAATTACAAGCAGCTTTTTTGCCCATATCAGAAACAATTCATGATATCGTAAGAACCAAATTAATCCTCATTATAGCTCTTCAGTAAATTATAAAGGAAATAATGACCGGATCGAGGGACATGTGAGAAGGGGGCTCTTCCCCCGCCTGGTGCGTGGTTTCTACACATGCCAAGCTGTCTGTTCTTCTGTGTCTTCCTCCCAGAGCAGCAGCACAATCCTAGGTGTGCAAGGGGAAGTTCAAAAGCTCTGGAAAGTTGCTGAGGGAAGTGAAGGTGAGAGTGTTTCATGATTACCTGGGCGAGTGGGGAAGTGCTAGGATGGAAATCTCTGAAACACTACCAGAGTCAAGGCTTTTTTATTTGAAAAGCTTTGGCCTCGTCCTCTTCAAACAAGCATGAACAGAGCTTTCTGGGCTCAGGCATGCAGCAACAAGATCTGCAGGTGTTTCGCTGCCTAACAACTAGCTGCATCTAACTGAAGCTCTCTCTAGTGTGCAATTAGAGAAATTTAAAAAAGAATAATCACCAAGGGGACATTTCGAAGAGAAAGTAAGCAAATCTCTGTAGTGTTTTGTGGGTATAATAAATAGGTATTTATGGGTCCGCCTGATCCTGGGGCTCTCTAGAAGCTGCTGAAATGAGGAGTGTGATGTGTATTAATTACTTCTGAAGGAAGCGAGAGTCGGGTGGGTCCTCCTCCCCACTCTCCCAGCTACTTCACTCAATTAGCACCTTCAATTCATTCCTTCCAACCTTAACAGCTATCTTTTCCCATTTTTTATTTCATTTTCTTCCATGTCTCAGGATTCCTCCATCTACATTTTTTTGTGTGAACCCAGGGGCACGTAACCATTGAGCCACAATGTCAGCCCTTTTTAACATTTTATTTTGAGACAGGATCTTGTTAAGTTGCTGAGGCTGGCTTTGAACTTGTGAACCTCCTGCCTCAGGCTCCCAAGCCATTGGGATTACAGCCATGTGCCACCACACCCAGCCCTGCATCTGCATTCTTGATCCAATTTTTCAACTTTATTCCACTTTTCCTCCCCCTTACTTGCTTTTTCCTCAACAAACATGCTCTGCATTTCTTCCTGCCCCAGAACTTTTTGCTCTGCATACCCTGTCTCCTGCCTTCCTAACTCCCACTTCATTGTTACCTGCCTTTGGCCTCCAGAATTCCAGCCCTCCTCAGCAAAATCCCTGTATCCTCTCCTAGCACATTTTACCCTGGTGATCATCTTGCGCTGAGTCCTCTTTCTCTGCCTCTGACTGCCTGATGAATGTAAGGATTTCTCACAACCCTCAACTTCTATGCTAACTGAGTCTCCAGATGTATTTAACCCAAAATGCCTGGATTTAGGTGTAGAGCTTCCAGAAGCTAGTAGAAACAGCTCAAGAACTGTGGAGACTGAAATGACTTGGGGCCTCCACCTCCTTCTATGGCTCCCTGTTACAAGAGTCATAAGAAGACATCCATCAATCCCCTGACATATCACATTGCATGATAGAGTGAGTACCCAGAGGCAAAGGAGAAATCAATAAATGATGTCTGAAAATATAAAACCATGAACTGCAGCTGCCCAAAGCGTCACATTAATCCAAGTTAGTTTACAGTTCCAGCTTACATGGGAGATTATAACTACTTGAGTTTGGAAAGTTGAACTCTCTCTTTTTGTTCGCTATCTGTAGGCATTCTGTGATTTAAAAAGTCATGCTGAACACCAGATCTTCTAAATAAATTCACTCCGAAGCAACAACCTGAGTGGGTACTGCATTCATCCACTCACGCAAACCTCCCTTCCTAATCCTGTCATACACAAGCCCTCCATGGAAGACCACTTAAATAAATATGCTTTGGAATCCTGTTCCAAAGGCTGGTTGACTGATTTTTATTAAACCAAGCCAAAAGGAACAATAAATTCCTAAAACCTAGAAAACACCTTTGTCTTCAGAGGCTCGAAGTCAAAATCTCTTTGTTGGAAAGAATTCCTTGGGAGATCTCAAAATGAGTAATGACTCACAGGGAAAGAAGCCAGAAATCAGAGCAACAAGAGCTCGAGGATTAATACCAGTGTTCTGACTTACAACCAGCAAAGTTTCGTTCCCTGGGGCAACTCCAGAACTCAGGCATGACAGGCTACAAGTGGCCAGTCCCTTGGGTACCACCTGCAAGCAGGATTCTGGCTCCAGCCTGGGCCACTGTGATCTACAGAGGAAAACTGAGCAGAGTTCAAACAGGGATCTTGGGTTAGTATTTTTCTGACTGTAAAGTAGCCCATGGAAGAAAATAGAAAAAAATCTTTACACATTATAAATAAACCTGAAAATCACCCTAGGAATGCCTTTCAGAGCCAGTAACTACTAACATTGGCATTTTTTCTTTTAGTTTTTTCTCTACATATTTTACATATACAGATTTTCACACTGGTGAGATTATATTAAATGTGAGCATGTAGCTCTTTTTTTATATACTCAATACCCATTTTTATATACTCAATATACTCACTAGCATTTCTACCTATCTTTAGAGACTCTTTGTAAACAGGACCTACTTGATATTCCAGCATCGAGGAAACAACCAAAAATGCTTTTTTTTTTCCTTATAGTTTGAACATTTACTTCCAATTTGTCTTCAATTTCTAATTAAGTCTATGGTAAAGTCTTTGTGCATAAATCTTTGTCTGCACTCCACATTATTTCCTAAAGGACAATGTTGAAATAGTGTAATTCACAGTATCATTATAGTTTATTTACATTTACTGAGTTCTGAATACATATTAAGCACTCTACTAATTACTATAAGTGCATAATCTCATCTGAAGAGATGAAGTAGACAATCTCATTATCCCTACTTTACAAATGAGAAACTGAGGCTCTGGGAGTTTAAAAGTCCCTTGCTCATATGTCACATCCAGACCAACTCTGGTGTATATACTTTTAACCACCATGGGAATGAAAAACAAGACAAAATTCTTAATATGTGTCAAAAAATTCTTTCCAGAAAGTTTGTATCAATTTATATTTCCGAGAACCATTCATGAGACTGTTTCATCATACCTTCAACAGAACCAAAAAATTTAAAGTAGTAAAACCAATCTTGACTAATTTGGTTGGTGATAATTGGTGTTATGTTGTTTTTATTTGTGTTTTTTTTTTTAAGTGAGGATGAGCATTTAAAAAGTCTTTTTCTTTCAAACTA